GTCACTAGGGCAAACTATATAGTTTTTCAATTAGTAAGACACTAGAAGGAATTTCAAGAGCTTGGGGAATGGGCTGGGTTCCTTACTGAAAAGGATTAGTAAATAGAGACTCCAGAGACAGAGAATGGGTAAGCGATTTCAGAAGCTAGAAAACAGAAGAGATTCACAAGAAAGCTACCAGCCCCAAAATCTTCCTGTAGACTTGGGGAAACATCCATCCCACCATTTCTCTATAAACCCCCACATCTAAACAAGGAGGTGCTTTATCTACCATGTGGTAAGAATAAGCTAGATATCTAGATGGGATAATACCCAATATGTTGTATATGGCTATATAGTTTTGAAACAAACATCTGAATTATTGAGTAAAGAACTACATAGAATTTCATGAGAAATCCCGAGTAGGGTTAGATTTGTATTATAGTGTAAGATCTTCAATTCCAGCAAGCCATAAACAGGCAAGAACTCATACCCCTACTGGACTTCTTTCTATAAGATTAACTTTCCCATTCTGTAGAGAAAAGCCTACTTGGGAGGGGCGGAAAGAAAAGAGGAACTATCAAGGTTAAGGTGCTTTTATGATTTACTCCACATTTTCTTTATGATAAGTGACTAAATTATGTAGAACAGAATGGAATAAAATCTATTATTTTTTTATAATTATTCTATCTTATATTAAACTAGAGGACTGGTGCATGAAATTAGTGCATGGATAGGGTCCGCAGGCCTGGTTGGCAATCAGGACCAATCGGGACCTTCTGGCTTCTGGCCAGGGCCTCCCTTCCCCCACTACCAGCTGCAAGCCAGAGCCTTCCTTTGTTCACACTTTCTCCCTGGTGGTTAGTGCACATAATAGCAAGCGATTGAACTCCTGGTCTCCCAGTTGAACTCCCAAGGGGAAAATTTGCATATTAGCCTGTTATATATATAGACTAGGGGCCCGGTGCACGAAATTCGTGCACTGGGTGTGTGTGTGGGGGGAGTGTCCCTCAGCCCAGCCTGCCCCCTCTCACATACTGGGAGCCCTCAGGCATTGACCCCCATCACCCTCCGATCACCTGATCGGCCCCTTGCCCAGGCCTGAGGTGTCAGGCTTGGACAGGGGACCCCCATCTCCCCCTGATCACTGGCTCTGACCCCCGCCCAGGCCTGAGGCCTCTGGCCCAGGAGTCATGCCTGGGCAGGGGACCCCCATCTCCCTCTGATCGCTTGCTCCACCCCCCGTCCAAGCCTGACGCCTCTGACCCAGGCTTCAGGCCTGGGCAAGGGGACCATCATATCCCTACAATCCCCGGCTCCACCCCCCACCCAGGCCTGATGCCTCTGGCCCAGGCATCAGGCCTGGGCAGGGGACCCCCAGCCCCCCACCCAGGCCTGATGCCTCGGCCAGAGGAGTTGACCCTCATCACCCTCCGATCACCAATCACTGGATCGGCCCCTTGACCAGGCCTGAGGCCTCCGGCAGAGGTGTCAGGCCTGGGCAGGGGATCCCCAGCTCCCCGCGGTTGCAGGCTCTGCCCCTGCCCAGGCCTAACGCCTCTGGCCAAAGCATTAGGCCTGGGCAGCGGGGACCCGCAGCTGCAGCGGCCCCGTGATCGTGGGCTCCACTTTAGGCCCAGGAAAGGGACCCCTAGCTCCTGGGACTGCCAGCTTCGGCCGTGCCCAGCTCCCATCGCTGGCTCCACCCCTACGTCCTGCTATCACTGGCCAGGGCGGCAAAGGCGCCTGATTCTCCGATCATGGCTGGGGGGCAGGGCAAAGGCGGCCCCGGGGCCGCCTTTGCCCTGCCCCCCAGCTCTTAGCTCCCTTCTGGGTTTCCAATCACTGTCAGTGGCAGGGGGCTTCTTCCTGCTTTCCCTTTCGCCTCCCTGCATTGTGCCTACATATGCAAATTAGCCACCATCTTTGTTGGCAGTTAACTGCCATCTCAGTTGGCAGTTAATTTACATATAGCCCTGATTAGCCAATGAAAAGGGTAGCGCGGTATGCCAATTACCATTTTTCTCTTTTATTAGTGTAGATGTTAATTTCAAAATTGTATTCCATGATAACAATATTATTCCTCTTATTTTTCAAGTTCTTGAAAGATGTCTTTCTGTTTTCCTCCTTCAACAATATATTTGATGTGAGGTCAGAAGTAGTTTAGGTTTATAGTTACTAAAATAGCTTTTTCATCATGGCTGCCCCAAAATACATGGAAGTGTTAGATTTATTGTAACCAAGCCCACTTGTTGGAGAAGGTGTAAAAATTAAGGCAATATGTAGATTCTAATCCCATTTTTAAAGATTTGGTTTGAAAACCCTCCATCCATTGAACAAATGTGTCTTGAAATAACATATAGATTAGGATTAACCCAAACATTACTATGCAATTTTATCATTCAACTTGGTGACTGGAAGCAAAGAGATACAGATAGATGTCATCAAGTAATCAAGATGTCAGAATCAAAGACATCAGACAGCATTTTCTCATATCTATACTTTTCTGACACCTATGGTTTGAATTTGATTATTTTTTATACCACTGAATATTTGTTGCACTGTTTGAAACAACTCCTTCCTATCTCATCTTTATTTCTCATTAAACACACCATAATACCTATCATTTAGTGGCAATCTCTTTAAAGTTTTGACTCACCCTGTATGACGCAGAAATAGTAACCAATGTATATGCCACGAAGTCCCAGCCTTGTTTCACTTCCTGGGTAAAAGACCATTAAGGTAATGTGTAAAGCAGTCCATGGAGACAGCTCTTTTGCAATTTCCCTGTTTCAGAACATGTCTTAAGCAACATGTGGCTTAGTGGTTGAATAGTGATAAGGAGTTAGGTGTGCTCTATGACTCTCTACCTCCTTCCTGTACTGTCGACCTTTAACTTCTGAATTTGCTGGATCACTGTGGGTCACTTATTAAATATCTCAGCAGACCCAGAATTTCATAAAATAGATAATTGATAAAATAGTATCTACCTTGTCACCTGAGATTTTTTTTAGTATCAAGGAGTTAAAAACAGATTGTAATAGGATCTCAAATGTCAGGTCTTTTAATCTCCATCAAACATCCCTCTTGAGTAGATTAGAAAACTGTTTCTCTCATCTGTAGTTCTGAAGGAAAAGAGTCCTGTTTTACTTATATTTTCAATATTCTTTATAGTGTTAATGATCATAAAATTCCTAGAGATCATACATTGGGATTTTATATAAACTGCTTGAGTGTAATACTTTTTAAAACTACATATACTCCAGTTATAGTCTCTGTTCTTTAGTTGTTATTACAGAAATATAATCAATAGCAAATACCACACTAAACAAAACTATTTGAAACCTCATGCTTCTTTTAGATCTACAAAGATCTCTTGATATACAACATTACTTAAATGATGTCATATAATAAGTATATTTTTATTGGTATTTTCTTATCCTCACCAAAACCCTCTCAAGTAATAAGTAAGTTAGCATTACCATATTATTGATTGAACTTACATTTGAATTAAATTCTTATTCACAGATGAAGAAATGGGGACACAGAGGTGCAGATATTTCAGTTAAGACATATGTTTCTTCATGACTTTCAATTTCTGGAAATGAAACAAAAAATTTATTTAGGCCACAAATTCGACCTAAACCCAAACAGAAAGTTTGAAAGAAGGCATACTTCTAGGTGATTACCCAAACGCAAAGTCCTGAGAATTTTCAGTGTTATCCTTTGTGTCATTAACTTACAAATATCAGCCTGATAATTCTTGAAAATATAAATCTCCTCTTGATATCTAGCAGAAGCATATTAACCACAATCTTGACAAGTGTATTTCTTCAGTTCTATTATATAATAAAAACAATATTTTAGCAAGTCAAGAGGATTGATATTATTGTCATACAGCATGCAGTAAATACTCAATTCAATATTTTTTAAACAATTAGCAAAATTTCAACACTGGAACTGGGCCGTAGTGAGAAGGGGCTTAGAGATGTGAGGGAAGACTGAAAAATAGTCAGTTGATTTGTTGTCTAGAGAAACTGATGTTTTAGAATATAGCACCACTGCTTTTCAACCAGGGGTTTTATAGACAGAAATCTAGGTTGATTTCCAAAACAATAGAACTGGAGTTTCAGATATTCCACGTCTCCCTTTAGTAAATCCCTAATTAAAGAAAGCTTGAACTTCTTGCTTTTACTTCCTGGGTATCTTGGTTTTGACATTATAATAAAAATTTGAAACCCTTTAGTTTGACAAGGAAAGTCTTTCTAAGCCATATTAGTTCTATTCCAGACCTATGGACCTATTAAATAGGGACTCTGGAGACTTCATTTGAAGGTATGGCTGATCCACTGGATCATCACCAGAACAGCAATAATCAGTGTATGGCATTGTAGTTTGTAGCAGAAAAGTGTCTGTTTAATTGAGGGGTCTGTTTAATTGATTTCCATATTAATCAAGACTTTACAACATAGAAATATGTTAAAACAGTAACAATATGCATAATCACTTACTTTTAGAGTCAGATTCCCATTTATATTTATATGAATTTCACCCATGCTCTATTTTAAAAGTATGCATACATGCTTTACATAGAATTACTATTGTATAAAGTCTAGTTAATTTAATCTTCCAACAGTTTACTTAGAAATGTAAAATTGACTACACTGAGTATTTTCTTAAATTTTTTGTACTAAAAAACCTACATCTCAAATTTTATTTATTGGCTCAGATGTTTTCTTCCCTTTACCCATAGATTGATTGTGTTATAGATTTTTATTTTATATAACTTTAAAAAATAAGTGTTATTTTGAAATCCTTATTGTTCTGATAATAACTGTAGGTATGTCAAAGTGTGACATTTAGGAATTTACCTCATAGAATATAGAAGAAACAGAACATTAAAGAGTTACTAAAGAACCACTGTAAAAATACCAAAAAACTTTACCCATGTAAATGTGACGTCATATCCTGACCAAAGGAGGAAGTGGCAGGTCACAGGGCTCAAACTGACTGCTGTCATAGATAGCACACTGCTGTCTTCAGTTGTTTCTGTAACGACAGAAAGTGCACTCACTTGGAGTAGTCTGAATTCAAAATGCTGAAGAGAAAACCATCCAACGTTTCAGAGAAGGAGAAACATCAAAAGCCAAAGGTAAGGCAATTTTATACATAGTCAAACAAAACTAAACCACTTAATAAATTACACACACACAGAGAATTCTTATCTGCCAGTCATATAAATTCAACCATAGGGCTGAATGTCTCATGGCAAATATGGAAAAAAAAATGCATTACAAAGTTAGATGTTAAATAATACCTGACAGTTATATATGGTCTTTGTAATTTAACTTATAGGTAATATTTTATTGTTTATATCTGTAACTGAACTTTGAGCACATATTATCAACTTCCTGGAAATCAATTTGGTGATCTCTGTTTGAAAGATTGATATTATAAAATGTTCTTGCACATTTTTAATGACAGTAGACTTGTCAATGTCTATTTAACAATTTACTGAATGCATTTTACCTCTTAAGTGCTCAGGTCTTCACAATAAATTTAATTATGAGAAGATTTTAAAATAGATATTTTGGTTAAATATTTGATATTTTTTATTTTTAATATTAAAATAAGACAGCTTGTTGTACATATCATTTTTCTATTCTGTTTTTTGAACTAAGGAGAGAATTGGGTTGTGTTTTGGGAAGCATCTAAACCCCATAAATTAATAGATTTGACAAGTTGATTCTATTTGGCATGTTTTTCTAGTCTTTATCTTGACAATAATTGCCACTTAAAAGAAAAAGTAGGGCTGCCTGGTCAGTGTGGCTCAGTGGTTGAGAGTCAACTATGAAACAGGAGGTCTTGGTTAGATTCCCATTCAGGGCACATGCCTGGTTGCAGGCTTGATCCCTAGGAGGGGATGTGCAGGAGGCAGCAGATCAATGATTCTCTCTTATCATTGATGTTTCTATCTCTCTCTCTCCCACCCCCTTCCTCTCTGAAACCAATAAAAAATATATTTTTTTAAAAAGTAGGGCATGAGGTAGCAAAGTTTAGGTTCTATTGTAGAAATCTATATTAGTTATTGATTTATGAAATCCTGGTATAGAGACTTTTTCTAACATTTGTACATTCTTGAATTTGTTATATAAATAACATTTAAATTCTGTTTGTGAATAAATAATAGCTGAGTTCCAATATTTTTTAAAGGACTGATTTATTACCTATTATTGGTCTTTATATACTTGACACCCATTCTCAGAGAAAAGATTTGGGAATTGTGAACTTTTGACTTGATGTGGCATTGAATAATCATCAACATTTGAAAACTCCTTGCAAATTACACACAACCACCCTGAAATAAACTAAAATTAAATGATCTCTAATCTTTGGAATAAATGATTTTTAATATTAATTCTTACTGACACAAAGATCTGATAAAGGATAGACAAGTATCTTTACTGAAAAATATGGCTAATAACATCAGAATTTCTGTCTTTTTCCCTAATGTAATAAACATTCAAAGTAACATTTTCCAAAAAGCACAAAACAGTTTCTAAAAGCATCATTTACCTTTATATTTAAGATTAATTTTATATAAAATTTACTTGATTAAATGCAATAATATTGAGTTTATAATAGTAGTTTAGGAAGATTACAATAGTAGATTTAGGAAGAACAGTAGTTTTACTCCAAGTATTTAAAATCTGAAGTTAGAATATTTCATAAAAACTGTCTTATGTAGTAGTTGATATGTCATTAAACTATTTCCAAAATAGTATCTCAGTCAATTCTCAATTGCCTTAATTGCAGAAACTATTGTAATACAAATAGAGTGCTGCTCATCTTATTGACTTTGTTATTAATAAAAGTAAAAATATATTGATAAAATGCATATCTGGTAACAAAATATATTACAGAATATAGTCACATTGGGAACATCAACTCTTGTTGTAAATGAATTTCCATTTTCTTGAGATAAATAATTTTATTCCATATAAATTTTAAAATTAATTTTCCAGTTACAGTTGACATATAAAATTATATTAGTTTCATATGTACAACATAGTGATTAGATATTTGTATATCTTACAAAATGATCACCCCAATAAGTCCAGTGCCCATCTGACACCATACATAGTTATTACAATATTATTTATTATATTCCCTATGCGTGACTATTTTCATTACTGGCAATTTGTACTTCTTAATCCCTTCCACCCTTTGCACCCATCTCTTCACCCCCCTTCCATCCAGTTACCATCAATTTGTTCTCTGTGTCTATGAGTTTGTTTCTCTTTTGTTTGTTTATTTATTTTGTTTTTTAGATTTCACATGTAAATAACATAATATGACACTTATCTGACTTATTTCATCTATCATAAAACCCCTAGCTCCATTCATGTTGTCAAAAATGACAAAATTTCATTCTTTTTTTAGCTGAGTAATATTCCATTGCATATATACACCACATCTTCTTTCTCCACTCTATATAAATTGGAAGAGTTTTGTGAGTGTATATGTACAAGTATGTTTTTCATACATTTCACATTAACTAAATTACTTCCTTTTAATATGGAGTTAATATTTTCCAAGTATTATAATTATGCCTTATAAGCATTTATTTTTCTGGGTAATTTTTTGAGCATTTTATGGAAAAAGACCAGAATCCCTAGAGATGGCACAAATAATGTTATGACAATCCCTATAAATACATAGGTGGTAAAATGAGGAGTGCAAATTCCTTCATCTACTAGAAGGGAACACAGGGCATGTATTTAGAAAGATAAAATAGAACCATCAAGGAAACTGTCTGAAGTATAGGAAATCATTATCTACACTGACTAATTACATACTCAGAAACATACACACATTGTGCTGCACTATTTCAGAATTTTTGAGAGAGATTTCCTTGTGTTTTATTGTAAACTAGAGGCCCAGCGTGCGAAATCGTGCGAAGCACCCCGCCTCCCACCACGCTGCACAAGGTACCTCGCCTCCCACCGCACTCAAGAGCCGTTGCTCGAGGGCCACGGGGGGGAGGGGGGTAGAGGGGGAGGTGATGGCGTACCAAGAGGTGCTCCATGCATCTCCTGGTGACAGGTCGCTTGGTCATTATGGCATTACAGTGTTTTGACCAATGGCTTTTTATAATTTAGATACTGAAGTAAGTAATGGGCAACATTAAAAATTAGGGAAATATTATTTAATCATTTGGTTCATGTTAATTACTATAGGTTTTATTTCAGGTGACATAGTACCCAGTTCAAATGGTGGATGCATATTATACCTCAAATAAAAGTTATGAAACTGATCATTTGAATAGGAAATAAATGGAAGAAGACTTTTTTGTTAGTATTTTTAAATGTCTTATACTTGTAAGAAGAATTCAAACCATTCATGGATATAAAATGTAGCAATAAATTGTGTAAGTGTCCTATTTCTAAAACAATTTATTATTTTTTTATGTTCTCAAGACTTATTGATAACATGTCCATCAATCAAAAATAATAGGTCAAAACACATATTAAAATACAGTGTACCATATATAATTTCATCATTAATGTGTCCTCTTTTCCACCCTTTATTTTTGTTTCTCTATTTTGAATATGAGTTTTTTCTTTCAAATAGCTCATAAATACGAACAATAGTGTTCATATTTACTTTAAGAGATTCATAATTCAGGTTAAGAGGGAGAGACTAGATATTTTATAAGGGAAACTAAAACGGCCTTGGGAAATTATTAGAAAAGAAACCCACTATGTATACGGGAATGTTAATAAATTCCAACAGGTTCAATTTGTGACTCAGCAAATTAAGAAAGGAATTTGATAAATACTTGTGCAGTATTCTACCTTTAGTCAATCAAAAATAGCCTTGGTTAACATGCAGGCAAGGAAGTGTACTGTACTTTCCTTTTTTGATTTTGTTTCTACTTTATTATCGTGAGTGTCCACTACAGATATATTTTTTCAAAAATTTAAGCATACCCAGGATTCATATTTAATAAGATATATCATTTCACTCTATAAATGCTTACATTATAGAACAGAATTTTTCTTGACTATTTTTTCAACTAAAATGTTTTATTTTTAGTTTTCTATATTTATTGTGAGTTTTTTACATACCTGTTGTTGTGTTCAGAGCTTTTCATATACTAATTGATTTAATATTTGTAACAACTCTGTGAGGGAATCTCTTAGTTAGCCTCACAGAAGAGAGGGCATAGAGAAGGTGAATTAACTTGAGCAAAGACGCATAGGTAAAAAATAAAACTGTGTGATATGAAATGCATATGTCAATTTTCAGTACTCCTGTTCTTAAATATTAGGCTGCCATTACAAGTATATGAACAGTAGATATTATTTCTAATTATCTTAATTACCAGCTACATTTTAATGAAACTAGGCAGAACATATTTGTAAGAGCCTCTGTAGGTTGGATAGGAATTTAGAGATTCTCCATTCTTATCTCTGATTAAATGCAAGAATTCCACCTACAAAATTCAACAGTTACTGAAAAACAACAATAAAAGCTTTTTTAATATTCACATTGTTCAAGAAAAATCAACCTAAGATTGAAGTAAGTATAGCCATGTATCTCCTTCCTGCACCTAGCATAACACCTTCCATGTAGTAGGCTCTTAATAAATATTGGTAAACTGAATCAAGTTTCTTGAGTCTACTGTACATAGTCTGGTTCCAGTTTGGATGTTTACTAGTGTTTTGTACTTTCATTATTCTTGGATCAACTCTGATGGTATGTACATAAGAAACTTTGTATGTAAATGTGTAAATATAACTAATTCATAGTTAAATTTTATTTTTAAAAGAGCACCAACACTGAAAATGTTGTGCAAAACTCCTAGAAAGGCCTGTCATGTCACAGTAGAATTTTGTTCCAGGTCAGGGAATATGGTAGAAAATTCAAATATGGAAAAGAAATAGATCCCATAAATAAAACTCTTCAACTGAATCAGTGGGACTTTATTTGGCTGGGATTAAAGATCTGTGTTAGTAAATTTTAACAGAGGTTTTTCTTTGAGTAAAAGAGATTCAAATACTATTGTTACTTTAAATGAAAACACTGAAATGATGGCAGTTCTGGAAATAGCTTTTTTAACCATTTTTAAAAACCTGAAGTACTTAG